GCGCATGCATGGGTTACAACAAACTTTAAGGAGGGAACTGAAGATAAATTGTGTAAGATCATATTACAGATGGAGGCAAAGTCGTATGATTTTTAAATGTAGACTTAACGGATACAGAGGAAGTCCAAGAAATACTTGCTATTAATTAATGTTTAATACTTGCTATTATTAAGCTGAAGTTTTTACACTAGGTCCTTGAAGGAAAGAGACAAGGTCAAAGCAACAGAGGACACAAGGTCAAAGAAAGAGAAGAAAGTTTTGAATGAGCTTTTTTCTTTAACATTATCTCAGTGAGCTTCACATTACTAAGCTTTGTTTCCGAAAGAAATCAGATTTTTTACAAAAGCAGATTATCAAAAACGCAGAGTCCTAAAATGACTCACAAAAGCCAGAGCTCATTAAGGAATGGACCTCAAACCAAACTGATAGGCCAGTAACTCCGCAGCTTCCGTTCCAGGTCTTGAGAAGCAGCATTCAGCATGCGCTCAACACTCAAGCTCAGTGAGTTCATCATGTGGGTTCTTTCTCTTTCTCATCCATTCTCAGGCCTGCACTGTGAGACAGAAGTGAATGAGTGCCAGTCAAGCCCATGCTTACACAATGCAGCCTGTGAAGACCAAGTTGGGGGTTTCCTGTGCAAATGCCCACCTGGATTTTTGGGTACCCGGTGCGAAAAAAACATTGATGAGTGTCTCAGTCAGCCGTGCAAAAATGGAGCTACTTGTAAAGATGGTGCCAATAGCTTCAGGTAAAACACTAAGTCTGATTCTTCTCATGATTTTTATTTTCTAACCTACTCAGTCATTCTGCAGCCTTTCTAGAGCATTACTTCAATCTCAATTCCCCTGTCCTCCAATGCCAAGGGTAGGCTGCTGTAGAATCTCTACACCGCTTGAGATTCTGTTTCACTAACCCCAGAGTAGAGGCTGTCATTTAAAACTAGGCAACTTGGTATAGTTTAAGTTTCCAATGATTCTGTTGGTTTCGGAACCAACATTCTATACTTGGAAAGTCATAAACCGAAATGCAATTTTGCAGAAACAAATACAAAAGAAAAAAGCACATTTTAATAATACTTGCTATTTCAGCTGAAGTTTTTACAACTAGGTGAAATCAAAATGGAATGTGCAATTACACCATCACAGTGCCTGTCTATATTCGATGTTCATTCCATGGTTTTTAAACATTTTGGGGGGTTAGTAAAGTTAAGAAGTCTAATAATAATGATAAAAGCTAAGCTTTGGGGTCTGAAAATAGCATTTAAAGGTAAGAAAGACTTTGAGGTAGCTCTTAGGTTGTTATTAGAACACAGTTTGAAAATCACCCCTCTCCCATCATCATTACCAAGGTTGCCCTGCCCATCCCTTGTTCCTTGCAGGAAATCACAAAAGGAAATATCTCAGCAGTACAGAAGACAGATTTCTCTTGCTTGTGAAATCTTAGGAAACGTTACCGTCCTTAACACAATGCTGGGTTCACAAGAGTTAAAAGGAGAAAAAGTCTCCACCTGGTGCAACATGTCCCAATCCCCTTCTGGTTCAGCCCCCTTACATGAGCAGCCTTCCACAAATAGCCACAGCACTATCCAAAAGAAATAGGAGAGCAATTCTGCCAATGAGGCTTTTACCCTAATGTGGAAATAAGGTCTGATCAGTGGAGTGTCATTTTCTCATACGTGCCTTCCATGTTCTGGCATGTAGAACCTAACCAGAGGCCATGAGAAATTTCCAGATGAACAAGAATTTTAAATTCTCCTTGGTGTCCAAAACATTTGATGACTGCTAAATTTCTCTAGATACTAACTAGAGGAAAGGTGGAGGTAAACTCTCCTACCTCAAAAGGAACGTAGGTTGTTAACAAAGGGAGCCTCTTGCACAGATACGGATATGGTAACATTATAATGATAGCAACCACGGGAGGGTCAAGGTGAGTGAAATCCTAGCCAAAATAGATTGACCATTAAATGTGGAGACCCAGTAAAGTTCCCCCAGTTCAAACTGAGATTTGCTTTCAAACTCCCCAAAACCACTTATTAATATTAGTCACCACTAGATCAATATCAAAGAAGTTTCCATATGAATGTGCTAGTAAC